CTGACCTTCGTCATTTTCCTCCTTTGAAGAACGTCTTTTAACATTTCTCTGAATGCGAGTCTACTGGAGATAAAGTCATTTTTTATTTATCTTAGAAAGTCTTTATTTTTCCTTCACTTTTGGAGGAGAAATTTGATGGCTACAGAATTCTAGGTTAGTGGTGGTTTTTCCTTTCGACAGTTTAAATGTTTCATTCCACTCTCTTCTTGCTTGCCTGGTTCTGAAGAGAAATCTGATATAGTTCTTGTACTGGTTCCTCTATAGGTAAGTTTCTTTGCTCTCTTGTCTCCTTTCAAGATTTTCTTTATGATTTGATCTTTGATTTTTCTGAAGGTTGAATATGGTATACAAAGGTGTTGATCACTCGGTGTTTATCCTGCTTGGTGTTCTGAGATTCCTGGATCTGTGGTTTGATGTATGTTAAATAAAAGTTTTCATTCATTATGACTTCAAATAGTTCTCTTGCTCCTTTCTTTCTTTTTTTCCCCTTTCTTTCAGTCTCATGCTCTCTGTCTCCTTCCTTCATTCCTTCCTCCTCTTTTGTATTCTGTTTACACATCTGTTATACCTTTTGTAATTGTCCCACAGTTCCTCCATATTGTTTTCTGTTTCTTCAGTCTTTTTTCTCGTTTTTTAGTTTGAGAAGTTTCTGTTGACGTATCTTCAAGCTCATTGATTCTAGCCTCAACCATGTCCCGTCTGTTCATGAGCTCATCAAAGCATTCTCCATTTTTGTTATTCTCCAGTGTTTTTTATTGCTACCGTTTTCTTTTGATTCCTTCTTAGAATTTTCATCTCTCTGTTTACACTGGCCCTCAGTTCTTGCATGGTGTCCGCTTACTCCTTTGGTGCCCTAAGTATACTGATTATATCTTTGTTAAATGTCCAGTCTAATAATTCCAAACTCTCTGTCATATCCCAGTCTGGTTCTGATACTTTCTCTGGTCTTCAAACTGTGGTTTTTTGCCTTTGAGGATGCCTTGTAATTTTTGGTTGAAAGCTGGACATGATGTATTGGGTATAAACAACTAGGGTAAATAGTGAGTTTGTGACGTTCTAGGAGTTAAACCATGTTTACTGTTTGCTGCTTGCCACAGGTGTCAGCAGCTCAATTTCCTCTGAGGCCCTTTGTCTTTTGCAAGGTTTTCTGTTATTTATTTTGTCTTCTCTGTTCTCTTTGGATTTCCCTTAATACTTTCTCTTCAGTAAGATCTGAGGCTTCAGGTTCTTTCTGTTGAAATCCCATTTTGAGCGGGGAGCCATATTAATCAGTGGTAAGATGTGGGGGAGGAGGAGTGTTCTGAAGTCCTGTGATTAGATCTCCGTCTGTTATGAGCCTGTGTCCCTGGGATTTGACTGTTACATGTGCTTCTCAGACTTTTTTCCGTTAGTTGAGAGGATGCTCGAGGGAGCTGGAGCTGGGTGTTTCTCTTCCACCACATGGAAAGCTAGAGGGACTAGATTTGGGTATTTCCTTTCCCCAGACCAGTTATGCTCCGGTAGAAGCCACGGTGGTTGTTCTGGTAGAGCAGTTTCCCTTGAGGGAAGACTTTTTGAGGAAAACAGGCTGTGCTGGGCATGTGTCAGATGGTTGCTTTTATGCTCTCTCTTCCAGAAGTGTGAACGAGTTTTCTTTGATTTTCACCCTGAGAATGGGGTGGGCTACTGGAGGCAAAATTCATGAAAGTGTGGAGGACCCCAGAAGGCTTCCTTGAGTGTTTAACTTTCAAGCTTGTCCACACTGAGCCTCGGGAGTTCATCAATTACACTTGAAGTTTTGCTGCCCAGATCTCAGCTCCAGCAGAGGCCTCTGCTCCGTTCAGCTGTGATTTTTTTGTATTCACTTGTCTCCCAAATTTTTTGGTGATTCTTTGCCCCGTGACCTCAATTCTCTGGTGAATTTAAGGACAGTTGTTGATTTTCACTTTGTTTGGCTTTTCCCTTTTTGTGACAACAGGACTGATGATCTCTAAGCTTCACACATGTTGGACCACAAACTGGAAGTCTTTTAATCTTTTGTAATTAACACGGACTAGTTTTAACCTGTTTCGTTTGCAGATAGTTCTGTTTCATCCCAATTTTTGGAAAAGGGAAGAGATGTATTTAGGGAGTTCTGTGCTTTTTAAAATCAAGGCATCACAAATTGCTCAAGGATATGTCCCATCCTAGAATTAAAGCTTTCCTCGCTTTCCCAGGCCCAGAAACTCTGATTTCAGGCCTATACTCTGTAGATAAGGTATGTATTTAGGTGACTTGCCTAGGACTTGTAAAGCAAAAAGTCAAAAGAGAGATTGCTCCATTGGGAAAGACTAAATGTGGGGAGTGTTGACTCCTGGTGTCCACTTGGGGTGACCCAGCCACTCCAGGTCAGAGAGGTAGGGGGAAGCAGCAGTTCTAACGTCAAGGATGAGTCTCCCTGTCGACCTCTCCCTGGGCCCATTTTATCTTGGGCTGCATCATTTTAACTCAAAACACTGGTTTAATACTTAGGTGTCAGTCCTTGTAGCCATCAAGTTGTACTCCTCTCTGCGCCCCATTAGCTGGGCCACAGGAACCTTAAAACAATAAGGTATGGGGGCTGGCCCCGTGGCCGAGTGGTTAAGTTCGCGCGCTCCGCTGCAGGCGGCCCAGTGTTTCGTTGGTTCGAATCCTGGGCGCGGACATGGCACTGCTCATCGGGCCACGCTGGGGCGGCGTCCCACATGCCACAACTAGAAGAATCCACAACGAAGAATATACAACTATGTACCGGGGGGTGTTGGGGAGAAAAAGGAAATAATAAAATCTTTAAAAAAAATAAAAAAAACAATAAGGTCTGGTCTCCCTCTCGGCTCCCAAAGCCCACAGGTGCTGCCTCCACCTGCAGCCTGAAGGGGGCTGGGCTTGTGCTGTTAAGTGTTGAGCAGTGCTGCCTGGTGTTGGGTGCAGCATTGGTCACAGCACTGGGCATGTAGCTGGCAGCTGCAAAGCCAGAGGCGGTGGCTGTGCCAGAAGGGAATATAGCTAGGGTGGCAGCAGAAGCTGGCCAGGTGCTAGTATGGGTGCCCAAGGTGGAAGGTGTGAGTGATGAATCCCCAAAAGCTACCCGTGTGGTGCTGCCCAATGCTGGCTGGCCTGGAGCAGAGGCTGGGGCCCAGACGGGCTGGAGCTGCCAGTTTTCCATACTGGGGAGAGCTGTGAATGGTGGTGGCTCCGAGCTGCTGCCCATCAGGGGCCCCAGATATGGACTGGGCAGTGGTTCCAGGCTTAACAGGAGGTTTCAGAGTTGGGGTGGGGCTGCTGGACCTCTGTGCCAGCAGCTAGTGGTGACTATGAGTGAGGCTGTGCTGTCACTGGGGGCATCTGGAGGGCCTGCGCAGAAGAGAGGAAGCTCCGACAGGAGCCACGGGGAGATCCTGAGTGGACAGGCTGGGGGCGTCAGTGGTGTCCCTGGGGGTGACCTCCATGTCAGAAGCTGGCTGGGGAGTCAGGCCTGCAGATGTGCTGGTTGAGAGGCTGGAACTGAGAGTAGGAGTGATTGGCAGGCCGGTGGAGGGAAGGGCACTGGGATCAGTGAAGCGGGGTGGGTCTGTGAGGTGAAGACAGGAGAGTCTATGCACGTGGGTGTGGGGGACTCCATTCTGGAAATGCTGGGAGCTGCAGGGGAGGCAGAACTGGCATCTGCTGTGACTGAGGCCTTGGGTTGCACATGGCCTCCTTCCCCCATTCAGAGGGGGCCCCCACATGGGCTTCAGCATGAAAGGGGAAGGGGACTCTGCAGCAGCTGCAGGGGCAGGCCAGTCAGAAGTTGGGCTTCTGATTGCACACTCCATGCCTGGTGTGAGGGAGGGAGCAGGGGTGGAGGGGTTCGCAGGCCTAGCAGACAGGTCAGCCCTGCCTCATCCTGGGGAGGCAGCAGGGGTCAGCAAGGTGCACAGGGCTGAGGCAGTGAGTGAGAAGAGGGGCCTGGTGAGCTGTGCCTCCTCCGAGGTAGAGGATGCAGAGGTGGCCGCTCTAGCAGAGACTGGGACAGCCACAGGGCCCAGGGAGTCCTAGGTCTTCCTGCGTTTCTCCAGCTGTGGGTCATGCTGGGGGCTGGAGCGACGGGCTGATGGAGGAGCAGTCCCTGCAGCAGGCAGGGAGACAGCACAGGACGGCTGCATGGCACCGCAGTCCCAGGTGACCTTGGTCTCACCTTGCAATGCACTGTTGGTGTGCTGGAGCGCTGCTTCCTTCTCCAAGTCTAGGTCTTCAGCAGTGACTCAAAAACCCAACTAGGGGTGGTGGCAGCCTCGGAGGGTTCCCTCACCTGTGTGGCCCCAGACGAACCTTGCATTTTCAGGACCTGCAACTGTCAGGTGTGGGTGAGCCGTTCCTCTGGGTTTGTGTCTGCCCTGTTGTTGCCTCTGCATCCTTTCCACGCTGGGTCTTTCTCTGGGAAAGCTCTGAGGCTGCAGAGGGAGACCAGGACCCTCCTCGCTCACTTTTCTTGAGGAGCTCTGGGGCAGCCAGGTGTGGGATGTGACTAGATCCCTCCTCCTCTGCACTGGCAGGAACCCGTGGGTGGAGCAATATGAACTCGTGATGGCATTTCGTTTGGGGCCAGAGCTCATACAAGAGGTCAGGGATTTCTGGTTGGATCTGTCTTCTGAGCTTGTGGTGTGGACATTTCTGTGCAGAGACCTGGGCCTGGGCACAAAGGAACAGAGGCCTCCCTGGGCCCCCAGGGACCCACAAGTGGGCTATGCACCCTCACTGCCATCAAGGCCCCTTTCCTGATGGCCGTGCCTCTCTGTAACTGCCTGGTCATCTTGTTTTGCCATCTTTTTCCCACTCTCTCCAAGGCCCTCAACACAGTCTTTTCTGTGCAGCCGCTTGGGCATACCTGGGTGTTGTGAGCGGCATCGGGGTGACTCCCTGCTCCTGGACCACAGAGTGAGGCCTTGCCCTCAGCAGATGCTGGGCTGCAGGACGTCATGGAGGCGTGAGCAGACAGTACCGCCTTCCTCTGATGGCCAGGCCTGCAGATGGAGGTCAGGACCCTGGAAAGGAGGCAGGGTCTGCAGGATCATGGAGTGTCCTTTCAGAGATGCTATGAGAAAGCATGGGTGCAAGGTCACTGGACACCTATGGGATGGCCTGGGAGTAGACCCAGGGTCAGGGACAGCTGGGTGACCCCAGCCGACCAAGGGAAGTCAGTGGGCGTAGTGAACAGGCTGGAGGTGGCCGTACCCTCCTGGCACGTGCTGGCCCCCCGGTGCCTGGGGCAGGGGTGAGGTGCACAGACTGCCCAGGGAACAGCACATAGAGCACTTGGGGGAGGTCTGTCCTTCAGTGGAGAGCTGGGCTCCGAGGTTCTCCTTCAGCTGCCAGCTGGGCCAGTGGCACAGTGCGCATCGTGTGGCCTGTTGCTAGGATGCAGCTTTGGAACGTGCGAGGGAAGAATGGGCTCATGCGAACATTCTGGAGGAAAGGGCACATGTGCAGAGGACTTGTGAGGACCTGGGGTGGGACATACTTAACATATGACCCAACATGCCACTCCTGGGAAGGTAACCAACAACTTATCACAAAACCCGTGTGTGATGAATGTTTGTGCTGCCTTATTCAAATTTCCGCACATAGGCCTATTGAGGTTGTCCAGTTTTTCTTGAATGGGTTTGTAAGGATTTTTAGTTGTCCTAGGAATAACACTATGTGTATGAATTGTTCCACAGTTTAATTAGACTTAGCGTTTTACCAGGTAGACAAAATGTCGAAGCCCTGTAACCACATAGATTCTTCTACCTTCCACTCTGTTAGAGATGTCACGCGTGTCACCTTTATATGATTTGAACGCCACCCCCTGAGACTCTGGTGTACTTTTTTCATTCAAAGTCATACGTATATTAAATAATTTAAGAGGAGAGAAATAGGCCCTCACTTTTATCCAGAGATGACCGTTTCTGTTGCCCTTTCTCTGTTCCCGAAGTTGCAGGCTGCTCTGTCATTTCACCTCAGCCTGAAGAAGTTCGTCTCACACAGTGTTTTATAGCAAGTTGTCTGCTGATGAATTCTCCTAGGTTTCGCTCATCTCCATCAGGTTTGGTTTGGGTTTTGTTTGGGTTTCTTTTCAATCCTTAAGTTGATCTTTGCTCCATATCATATCTTGGAATTAACCTGATTAGTTGTTTTCTCAGGAATGTTTTTCTGCCAGTTTGTAAGGATTAATTTATCTGAAACTGGAGAATATAACCTGTGTGTCCACATACTGATGACATAGAGACTGCAGGATAGTACATGGTGCTCAGAGCACGTGGAGGAGTGAGCTCCCTGGCTAGCCTCTCTGCATGCGGAGTAACGGTGACATCCCCCATCCTGGACACACGAGGATGTTTGATCCCAACTGGGCGATGGCGTTCACATCAACCCACGCTTATTACTACAGCTGTTAATAGTATTCTTTCTTATACTTTAGAAAATAGCTGCCCTTTGACAGTCACTGTGGATCAGCTTTTCAAGTTGAGTGACATCTTTGTTCTCTTTTATAAATTTGTTCTGCGGGATTAATTTGTGCAATCAGATTTGAGTCCTATTTTTTATTGAATAAAATATGTGCAAACAAGAAAATTGGTGGTTCTTTCTAAAAATAGCATTTGTGCACATATTTCAAAAACAAGAGAGGTCTTATTCACCAATTCTCTCCTTTCCCCCTAGCACCACAGTAAGATCCCCTTTCCTAGCCTCTCTGCTGTTCAGTATGTGGCCATGCAGTGTGGTCCTCAGCAAGGAAATGGGGTGGGTGTGATACTCACCATGTATGGGCTCAGGCCATGGAAACATGTCCCATGATGTGCCACATATTTCCCCTTTACAACTGAGTGGAATAAACCCAAGGATCATACCCAGAGTTGAAGCCACATATTGATAATGGCAAATCCACAGATTGAAGGTAGCTGGGTCCCTGAGTCTCTGGTTGGAGGAAAATCAACATGTGAGAAAGTACCTTTGAAATATGTTAGAGGAATGAAAAGTCTTAACAAGATGTAGGAATATACTATCTGATGTAGAAAATAAACAACAAAAAGTGAAGAGATGTGCAATGCAAAATCTATGGATGAAAATATCAATCTTGAGAAAAAGGCTTATAATTATCAAAAGATTATAGATATTTTAATTTCACCTTTTGAATGGAGATATACCAAATTAAACTAAATGCCTACAGATTTTTCATTTTAATAGGAGAAAATTTATTTGCAGTGAATGTATCTGATTTACAAAAAGCAGCCACTCTCTTGTCTCTTTAATATTCTGAAGCTTTAAATTCTAACATATTTCATCTTGAATGGTCTTAAGCAGCATGCAGTGGTTGGTATTTTAAAAATCACCCTTGTGTTTGGATCCTATAAAACTGATGCACAATATTTTCTTATCACATTCTCATAAAAAATTTGGTAGTGGCCTGGATTTATTATTTTTAACAATACTAGGCACACTGATTTTCATGTTGATTGTAAGCAAGGGGAGAGGCCTTCTAATAAGCATGCGTCATTACATATAGTCAGGATTTCTCCTTGAGAGTTTTCTTAACAATTTCCACTTGGTTGACAATATCCTCCCATCCTAATAACTGCATAAAAAGTCTGTAATCTATTTGCTCCAAGATGCTTCTGATTTAAGCATGGTGTGTTGCCTCATATGATTTTATATTAAATATTAATGCATGATATTTGACTTTTTGTTATTGTACTAATATTGTTTCTTATATATCTGTGCACACATATATTAGTACTTGCTAAGTGCATTCATTTGCATGGACAGTGGCTGATTGGGTCTTATCTTGATGGCTATTGAGTGTTTTTGTGTTAAAGTACTTTTTAGAACAGACATGAGAATATCCCATCTGATCATGGTATTCACAAAACGTGTTTGTCCTTTGTACAGTATTTTAAAGGATATCATAGTTTAATTCATGGGATCAGAAGTTTTGTCTGTGACGAGTATGAGCTGTACAAGGCCAGGTTTGGCAGAATCATGTTCGGTGGAGGAGTAATGGCTTCTACCTCTTACCATAGTTGCACCTGGATAATATCTGTGACCGTGAGCGTTTTTATGTCAACAATTACCTTTTTCCAGTTTACTAATAATTATCTAAGGGACATCAGATCCATTTTTTTCTTTCATTTCAATACAATCAACGTCTCTCCTCTGAGGTGATGGCGGCATTCTTCACGCTAGCACATACCTGTCCTCTGACGTATTTGTTCATGATGGGCTGCTTCTCTTGTACAATCAAAAAGCACAGAAAAGTATTTACTTTTTATATTCTCAGCTGAATTTCAGATTTAATGATTTCTTAGGAGCACTACATATGTTTTTTTGAATTGTCTGAAACACTTAGGGACAGATCACCTTTTATGTTTACCTACATTGTTAGTTATATAGACATTATAATAATGTGTAAGTTTAACAAAATGGGGAAGCATTCCAGGATTTGAGCTTAGAGTAATTCTGTGTCATCATCTAAGAGGTAACTTATTTCCAGCACAAAATATAGCAACATTTAAAATCACTTGCAAGATATGCCATTTTTGGTTCTCTGATTTTGTCACTTTCTGCTATCACCTGGGAACCAGTGAGTTTTAATTTTTTTTAAACATCATGATTAGAAAACGTCATGATGAAACATTAAATCTTCATGGTCACAAATTCTGTTCTCATTCTAATCTGAATATTTGACTTACACATACTTGGTTTGTGCTATTAATGCTGAAATGTAAGCATGGAAACAAGAGTAAGAACAGACATTCTTGGAATAAGTGAGCCAGTGAACCATTAGTCATTTTATGGGTTTTTTTGGAGGGAAAGATTCACCCTGAGCTAACAGCCGTTGCTAATCTTTGGCTTTTTTTTTTCTCCCCAAAGCCCCAGTACATAGTTGTGTATTCTAGTCATAGGTCCCTCTAGTTCTGTGTGAGCCACCACCACAGCCTGGCAGCTGACAGACAGGTGGTGTGGTTCCATGAGCAGGAAGCGAACCTGGGCCGCCGATGCGGTGAGTGCCGAACTTTAACCTCTAGGCCATCAGGGCTGGCTCAAGTCATTTTATGTTTTTATAAAAACTGCTGTTTTGAATCTGTTCAGGCGTGAAGTGAAATAGGCTCACTAAAGTCTGAATCCTGCCTTAGTTTCTGGTGATGAGATTTTGAGACAGTGAATCTGGGCACAGCCATGCCAGTAAAACAAAACAAACTCCAAATAATAGAACATGTAGATAATTATGCATATATGCATTATTAATTTAACATAAAATATGTAAAACAGGCGCTTATGGAAATTATGTATTATTCTGGGTTATTTACTTCTTTGTGCCATAAATCCTGTTTTTAAAAAACAAAACAATTGAACTAGGTTTCAGGGGGAAATTGATAATAATTACTAGTAAGACAATTTAAAAATGTTTAAAAAAAATGTGTGTTGTTTAATACATTTTTACTTTAAAATAGTTTCACTTTATGGAAGATTGGCTAGATGGCCCAGGGTTTCCCAGTCACCTGCGGTTTCCTGTCTTGCTGCCGTCTCACAGCATTGTGGTGCATTGTGACAGTGAGCTGATGCTGATATGTGATTTTTAACTGTAGTCTTTTTTCCCCCAGATTTTCTTAGTTTCATCTTTCTCTCCTCTAAGATCTCATTCAGGACACCACATCATATCCTTAGATGCTCTTGGTGGTTAGAGTTTCTGAGACCTTCCTCATTTTAATGGCCTTGACAGTTTCAAGAGTACCTGTCAGGGATTTCAGACGCGTTCTCCGCTTGGGCTTTACCTGACGTTTCCTTCATGATGAGCTTGGAGTTGCATGTTTTGGAGAGGAAGGCCACAGAGGGGAAATGTAGTTCACACTCCATCTCAGGGCCACGTGCTCAGAGGTGACTCCTGATTGTTGCTGTTAACCTTGATGGCCTGGCTGATCTAGGATTTGTCAGGTTCCTCCATGTAGGTTACTCTTCCCGTAGTCCATTCCGTTTGTGCTTTTTGGAGGGACGTCACCATGTGCAGCCCACATTTAAGGAGGGGGAGTTATGCTCCACCTCCCTGATGGCTGAGTATCCAGGTCAGTTATGTGGGGTTATGCCTGAGAGAGTCCTGCTCTCCCATATTTGTGTATCTATTCATTTTTCCAGAAAATAGCTGTAAAATAGACAATACATTTATGAAGAGAAGCTCCACCTCAGTAGTGATCAAAGAGACTGGATCCAACCATCTGTGCCTGGAGTGGTGTCTGGCACAGAGTCTGTGCTCAATACATACGGTGGATTAATAAGGCTGAGAAGATGTGAGGAGAGCACACATAGTGTGCACAGTGGCAAAAGAGACTCCAGGCAGAGGAAGAGCAAGGTAAAATGTCACACAGAAGGGCCATGGCTGCCTGCTTTGAGGATCCTCGGGAATTCTGTGTGCTTGGAGTGAAGTGAGCAAGGGAGAGAGTCCTGAAGCATGTAGACACACTTGTCAGCCATCATAAGGACTTTGGCTTTTACTCTGGGAGAAATGAGGAGCCCGTGGAGGGTTGTAAGAAGAGGGACGACATCTGACTGACTCTGGCTGCTGTGCTACAAGTGGACTGAGGGGTGAAGGCAGGAGCGGGGGCCAGTTAGGAGACTGCCGTAGGAACCTGGCGGGAGCTCAGGCCAGGTTGTTAACCATGGAGATGGTGACAAATGTTCAGATTGTAGATGTGTTTTGCAGGTAAAACCGGGGCCAGCTTCATGAGTGTGACGCCTGTGCTGTCACACAGGTCCTTTGCTCAGAAATGCCCAGGCTTGGTTTCATGCTCTGCTGTCACTATCTGGGAGTTTTTTCCTCCTCCAGCTTTATTGAGATACAATTGACATATAACAGTGTGTAAGTGTAAGGTGTACAAAATGATGACTTAATCTACATAAATGTTAAATGATTACCACAATAAGGTTCATTCACTCCTCTGTCCCCTCACGTAATTACTATTTTTTTGTTGTGAGAACATTTCAGATCTACTTTCTTAGCAACTTTTGAGCATTTAGTACAGTATTGTTAACTATAGTCACCAAGCTGTAATGTTA